GGAAATCAGGAGCTGTGTAGTTTGTCATCACTAGGCAACAGAGGCTGAGAGGGGGAAAAAAATCAATGTTCTGCTTTACCTGCAGCGCCACCTAGAGCCTGGAGGGTAACAACTCTTCCATGAATGATTCCTCAGTGGAAAACTTGTCTTTGGCTTTTCTTTTATTAGAGAAAAGCTAAAGACTTCTATTCTATTCTATTCTATTCTATTCTATTCTATTCTATTCTATTCTATTCTATTCTATTCTATTATACTCTGTAATGTTCTATCAGAATATAATAAAATAGAATAGAAAAGAATAAAACAGAACAGAACAGAATGGAATAGAATAAAACATAATAGAATAAAATAGAAAAACTGACTTGAGTCTCTCCAACTTCACTGTGTCTGGCTCGTTTGAGAGGTGTTCTCTTCATGGACTAATCCCTATTTACATTGTTCAGGGCAGATGGCAGACAGTTTGTGTGGCAATGTGTGTGTGAGCAGTTTTTTGATGTCGATGTTATGGATCAAGTTGCCCAAGGTGGCGGTGGGGTTATGGTATGGGCAGACGTCTGTTATGGACGAAGAACACAGGTGCATTTTATTGAATGAATTTTGAATGCACAGATTTACTGTGACGAGATCCTGAGGCCCATTGTTGTGCCATACATCCAAGAACATCACCTCATGTTGCAGTAGGATAATGCACTGCCCCATGTTACAAGAATCTGTACACAATTCTTGGAAGCTGAAAATGTCCCAGCTCTTGCATGGCTGGCGTACTCACCGGACATGTCACTCATTGAGCATGTTTGTTTGCGTATACGACAGCATGTAGTTCCTGCCAAGATCCAGCAACTTCGCACAGCCATTGAAGGAAGGGATCAACATTTCACAGGCCGCAACTGAAGACCTGATCAACTCTATGCAAAGGAGATGTGTCGCATTGCATGCAGCAATTGGTCGTCACACCAGATACTGACTGATTTTCTGAGTCCCCAGACCCCAATAAAACAAAACTGTACCTTTCAGAGTG